TTTTAAACGGACCATCCGAAAAATCACTGTCATGATTTTGTTCAGCGGAAATAAAATTGATATGTCCTGCCGCATTCTTCTTGGGCTTTTTCCTGTCCATGTTTTTCTCAGGTAGACTTTCAGCGGAGCTTTCACATTTATTGTCCAAACTGCGGTCACTGGATTCATATCTTGGTTCTGAAGCGCCCATCAGAAGTTGTTCAATTTTAGCGCCTGCAATTTTCATGGCATTCTTCTCCTCAGGAGTTTTCTTCTTGTAAGGACCTCGTTTCTTCTTGACGGAATTCTTGGTACTAGTAGGAGGAACCTCGATCTTCGTCTTTTCAACTGTGGATTTTTTGGACTCTTCTTTGATGACGGTGGATTCTTGAACGCTTATCTTTCTCTCGGAATTTTCTGGATAGTCGGTGTAATAGGCGTTGTCTTCACTAAATTCGCCGGGCGAACCTTCCTCCTCTTCGTCGAAATTGTCGATCCATTGCTCGAAGGAAGGCAAAAGTGCAAGGCCAAGGCGGTCGCCTTTCAGTTCGCGTTTCTTCTTGCTTATGAATGAATCGTACTGACAACTCATGTTGGACTGCATCGCTAGCAGTGTCGAGTTCAGCCGTGACAGAGTCTCTTCGTCCAAACATTCTTTGCCTGAAAAAAAGATCAATGTAGAGAATAGAATAAAAATAATGCAAACTCAGCAAACTTTACCGACAATTAAGACAAAATAAGATTGCAATTAAGGCCAACTGACAGGCGTACGTGGATTTCCACGTATGTAACAGTGGTGATATTTGCGTTGAACCTGAAACACATTGAATATAAAATACTTAGTTTCCTGCAGAAAATTATCTTTTAATAAACTCATTTTTAATTCTATGGTACAATAAACTCACCTGCGCTGGTTTCTTAGTGGCCCTAAGATGAGATAATTAAAAGAATTGAAGTCAGTAGTTCAACCGTAAAATGCTTATGAACTCTTGCACGAACTATAAAGCCCAACGCGCCACGGCAGCGCAATGAAGTCGTAACAAATTCCTTGAGACGGTGCGAGTGCAATTGGATTCAAATAAATCTTGCGAATTAACAAAATGATTTATAAAAGCAGACGAAGATATCTCTTGGTCTGTGAACACATTTTGATACAAAAAAATTAATTCGCCTATGAATTCAATAGGAATATTAGCAATTTCCGTGGTCGAGACAAATATTTATTCTCGCACATCATTGCAACCAGCAATAAAAAATTTGCATACCTTCAGCAGAATGAATTCTTTTCGCGAGATCCAAAGCCCACAGGCCTTTCTTCTCTTGTTTCTCATAGTAAATTTTATGGGACTCGATGAAGGTCTTCATGTTGTGGATATCGGCTGCAAAGCAAAAGGCGCTGGTTAATTCGATTAAATTAAAAGAACACTCAAAATCAGAAAGTTCACTCAAAATGTGACTAGTTAGTTATTTTACCGTGCTGGATAATACTGTTTGCTTCGAAGATTGATTTCAAGATATAAAGAGATACGAGAAAATAGTTTACGTCTTTACGATAACCAATTTTTCAATTACAAATAAAATGGACGAGGCTCATAAAAATCACAACATGCAGTTTCGAGAAAAAAAATCAAAAGCCATCAAAAAACAAAATGATCGGTGAGAAGAAAGTTTGATCTGGAGCGAAAACCTAACGAATTGAACCTAACATGTTAATATAATAATAAGTTAATAGCTTCAATTTAAACATTCAGAAGACGTTCAGAGTGTCGTAACATCCGGTGACTTAAGGATAAACTGCTAAACTTGTTTTATTGCCTGCATTTTCAGTAGATGAGAGCCAAACAAAAGATAAAATTAAATAGCCTATTCAATAGACGATAAGCGTAAGAAGGTGACTCAGAAGATAGGCGTGTTATATTACAATTCAAAGCTCTCACAATGGAGGAAAAAATGCCTGCTGCTCGTTCCGGAGTTAGAGCAAGGGGCGATCACGCGCGTTATCAGTTCAACGCTTGGCGGCTGGCAATGATAAGTGACGTAAACGCTTTATCAGATAGGGTAAGACAACAAGGCATGAAGACCTCTATGTAGATCCAGTGTTGTTACACGTCAGTCCACATTAACAAGTGCTGTGACACTCGATTCATACAAAAATCTTACTAATACTTATAGCAGTTGTATGGTAATATGTGCAAACCTGTACGGACTATAACCATGAGGGCGGTTCTGCCCGTTTTTATGGCATTAATCGCGCTAAACAAAGTATCGACTGAAACTATTGGCAGTATAGCGACGATCAATACCTATGACGGCAAACAATTGGGGCCCTACATTGTGAAAGAAATTCACTCTCATTCAGATCCCGAAGCGCACGCATTAGTGGAAGAGGGAAGTGGCGACATAAATTCCGCTGACGACGACACTGAGGGAGGTGACGATGACCCTTCTAACGGACTTCCGGTACGTCAAGCACAAAATGAACTAGCAGTTCCAGCTCAATCTACACCAACGCCTGTGGTGACTCAATCGAAACCGGAAGCCTCATCAAAACCTCTAGTGACTCAACCTGAACCAACACCATCATCTAGAGTTCCACAACCAGAACCAACACCATCACCTGGAGTTCCACAACCAGAACCAACACCAGCACCTGGAGTTCCACAACCAGAACCAACACCAGCACCTGGAGTTCCACAACCAGAACCAACACCAGCACCTGAAGTTCCACAACCAGAACCAACACCCGCACCTTCAGTCTCTCAACCACAAGCGACACCAGAATTTACCAAGCCAAGCCAACCGTCAACCCCCGACGGACCGACAACGGTAGAAGTTTCTCCGTGCTACACGAGCTGCAGGGCGCTGGTACCGCAAGTGTCGCTCACGCTCATCCCAGACAAGAACTTGGTAAAAAGAGGATCCACAATAGCGTTTACTTGCAGATTAAATGGCATCACGGAAAATGGAACTTCTCAATTCCTCCAAGACACCTCACTTCACTGGGAATATGAAGGCGGTGATCCACCGCAGAGGTGAGCTAAGCAATGCTTGCGAAATTAGGTTAATTATAAAAAGTAGCCTTCGGAATTTAATGCTACAGACATCGCAAACTTGAGAGAAGAAATTAGGCATGATAAGATAAAAGAAAATATCAGGAAATCACTATCAATCATCAAACTTTTTAAATCTTCAATAACATTTGATACAATGATGCTTACGAAAAACCTACATTTACGAAAATTTATACGACAGTTACTAAATCCACCGAACAATACACTTTCCTGTCCAGCAGGTTTTAAAAAAGGTCTATAAAAATGGTTGATCATAAAATATAAGTTTACCAATTATCATGGAAATAAAACATGGGGTAGAGGAACTAACATCCACGAACAGAATATTTTATTTTTGGTTTAATGAACGATAGCAAATATACTAGACATGCTCATCATGAACATGAAAGGACTGAAGCATACGTTTGTTTCGCAAGCAAAGTTTGTTTCGAAAGCAAAAAGTTTCTTTCGCAAGCAATAATTTTGTTTCGCAAACATCAAGTTTCTTTCACGCAAGCAATAAGTTTGTTCTACAAGTTAAAAGTTTCTTTTGCAAGCAATAAGTCTATTCCACAAGAAAAAGTTTGTATTGCAAGCAATGTTTTTTTTTGCATGCAGCTGGTGTGCTCTAGACGACCAGCCATACAGGACCAAGTGTGAGAACTTCAACGAGATCAGGCAGTTCACGGAGCGCAACGCAAGCTTCTTGAGCTCCCATATCGTCGTCACTGACATCGACGTACACAACTTCGGATACTTCAAATGCCAAGTTTGTTAACAAAGGGATTCATGTTATTTCAAAGCGATGCAAGGAAGTAATGAAATATTTAACATAAATACTAAATATAGTAATATTATCTAATTTCGATCCGTATTAAGTATTTTTCACTCAAGGCATTGATGACTAATTGTGGACCAATTTTCCACGAAATCTATTCGATCAAATAGTATTGTAACAAGCTAATGCGAGGGAAGCAATGCAAGTTATTTTACTAATTGAATCGTCGATTGAATTGATTTCATCTGCAATGAAATTTAATTGCCATGAAGTACCGTAAAATATGCGCAGTGATGTAGGTACGAATAATGAAACTTAATAGCAAGGACGTATAGTTTGTGCGGTGATGCGGAGTAACACGGATAACTTAATGATATTTAATTGTAATGTTAATGATACAGTAATAGTAATGTTGTGCTGCAGGTTCGCGTGGAATGCTGCTCCAGCATCCTGCAGCATGAACTATCTCGCTACGTGACTGTGTGGGAGGCCGATTATTCGGTTTACATCATAGTTATGTGTGGCGTGATAGCCATGCTGTCGCTCACCATCATCGCCTGGCTCGTCTACAGGAAACACGTCGACAGGACACGAATGCGGGCTTACAAACAGGTACAAATAATATGCTTGCCAAACCCTCGGTTGTATTAACAATTATAACGAAATAGAAATTTAGGTTTTAAGATAATTTTATGAAATATAATGGCAGCATTAATAGGAAATCATCTCAAGCATTAAGTGTACGGACACGATCATAGAGTTCATCAAAATGCACACGTTTCATATAATTTTGTAACGCATAAAATCCAATGCATCGCAAATTTGCCGAATTCTACTTATCCTCTGGAGACAATTAAAGGACAAATTACACATCGATAAATACACTCTAACTAGAAGCTTATGATAACCTTTGATCATGGTGCACGCTCAATATCAGCATTGACGCACAAGCCTAATGTACGAGTATACTAATTGCCAGCATAACCAAGTCTGGACAAGAGCAACAAGTCTAAACAGGAATAATCAAGTCTAAACAGGAATAACCAAGTCTAAACAGGAATAACCAAGTCTAAACAGGAATAACCAAGTCTAAACAGGAATAACCAAGTCTAAACAGGAATAATCAAGTCTAAACAGGAATAACCAAGTCTAAACAGAAATAATCAAGTCTAACACGGAGTAATCAAGTCTAAACAGGATTAATCAAGTCTAATAACCGAGTCTAAACAGGAATAACCGAACTCAAACCGAAGCAACTAACATGCATGTTTGTGTTTCAGGTGGTGATGATTCCATCAGCTTTAACAGGAGGTAGCAAAGTGTCGACTCATCAACCCTTCCCCATTGAAGCAGACGAGAACGACAGTTTCTCTTCCAACGATTCATTGTGCAGCGCTTGATCGGATAATATTTTCCTCGCCCATAAGGGCCCTTCAAATAAAATTCCACATGGCAGACCAACGACAAGTAGATTAAATACCCAGAACAATCCATGCTTCATTAATCAGCGTACTGATGTTTAATAACTCGCAATAAGTCCGCAGTGATTCTTGCCCTGATAAAACATTTATTCATCGATTTCCATTATCTGATAATAGGGCAGGCGGAGATTGTCATGAAATAATAGATCGATTAAGATGTCACAAGCCTCCACTGTTAAGTGAGCAAAATGAGCATCCTATGTACCTAGTCGTTATATTCCTTGAACCTATGTTTCAGTTTTAATATGATGCAAATACTATGTATAGAAACAAGATGAATGGATAGAAATCTTACATGCTGTCTCATAAGTGTGACGATAGTTAAACTGATTAGTAGAATATTAAGTGGACAAGTACTTTTAAACGAAATGCACGATTACGCTGATGCATCTAATGAATACGTTACAGAATTATGCGCGAAATATTTCAACAAAAAATTATCACCGTTATCAAGCACTGCATTGAGTAGCATTATCTTGATGAGAATTTCGCACGGTGCTGCAACAGCAACAGGCAAGTAACAACTTGTAGAAAGCGCGCGCATACCATCAAGTTCCATACATACATATAGAAGAGCCTTTGTACTACGTTGAATGCAATTTTTAGATTGAAATTTGGTCTTAATTTAAAGATTAAATTGAGTCCAAGAAGAAAGCCTTTGAGATAATTTAACATGGAATAGGTCGTTGCAACAGAATGCTATACATTTGTGATGGCTACGCCGAATAAGAAAAGAACGGAAGAATTTAATTAACAATTTCGAGAGTTTGATTGTTTTTCAATTAAAATAAGAGTAATTCGTTGGTTGATTTGTACTCATCTCTGAAGTGTTGACCACAATGTTTCCTACACTAAACCCTCGAACTTGCAGCGCCGTGAAATTTCTATAAAATAATTAGCGGTTCAGCACTGATAAAGAGTTTTATTAACGACTTTAAAATTATTGTCAGATCATAGAACAAGGACGGAAAATATTAAATTCTAGGAGTTCACAATTAAATGCCATTGCATGCAAATGAATTAAAATTGCTGAGAATTGCAAAAAGCTCACAGATTTTAGCTGAAACAGCAGAAAATATATTTCTGCTAGGGTTTATCTATGAGTTAAAGTAAAGATGGCGTTGCAGTCAGCCGCCTGATTGTGATTTATATGTGAATGTTTTTTTGGCTCTCAATCGATATTTCATCATAAATATACTCGAGACAGAGAATTTGTGAAGGAAAGTCTTTTTCGATTTTTCAACTGAAAATATGAGCGCCCTTATCGGTAGCGTCTCAAAGTTTGCAAGTCGTTCACAAGCCGAATTCACTTCGATCCACAACAGGAACCAACAAATCAAGCCTGAGATATAAAATATTACTTTCAAAATAAAAGTGAACTTTGCATGAACAGCGATTTATTTCCCAATAACAGGAAAAAAGCGTTCCCATTGAACTAAATCTAACAACTACAGCTCAACATAAAAATTACAGATCAAACGAGCTGTTCATGTTGACGAAGTCGGCTAACGTGAAGCTGTGAAATAATGTCAGAGAATTTTCGTGCAGCGATGCGTCATTCTTCTCGTTGTCTATTTCGGCTCACTCGAATTAACTTGAATCAAGTCTCAGCTAAGAAATAAAATAAGTGCCAAATAATGTGCAAGCATAATATAAATTTATAGAGACTTTATTCTCGACCATACAGACGAGCGTATTAGTTTAGGAGCCATATGGGAAGCAGATGTTTTGAAAAATCTAGCAAGTGTTTGATAACGAGTTCCGTAGCCGTAAATGCAAGCAGTAAATTCATAAATGTAAGACCCCATTCTTCAACTCAGCAGTGGCCACATCAACGCAATTCATCAGAAGCTCATCATAAAACAAAGATAAGCCTGCATTTAAAATAAGGTAGATAAGCCAATAGCTACCAAGACTCGCCCCGCACTGCGTCTTGCAGCAACGTTAATGGTCAGCAATGGATTTAATAACAAATAAGTGAACGGTACTGGCGTGCTGCATGAAGAGCATGGAAACCATGGACAGAACTGAATACCCGAATCCTTTGAAAAAGCTTCTGAAATTTGCGATGAAGCATGAGCATCCGTAAAAAGAACTATAAGCACAATTTGGGAAAACGCGATTTAATGTTTGAGATCGGGCACCGAAATTGCTCATTCATTATAATAGTACATTTTATTGTGAAGAATAGCACGGTTGTGGAGATAAATTCACGCGCCTGCATCCTTGGAATTCCTCGCAGAATTGAATATGCACCGTATCAGAGTGCCCGCAAAATAGAATGTCCACGAATTAATACCCAAAGTTAAAGGTAATAATACTCACCGTTTTTACTTTCCAGCTCGGCACGTAGTCTCCGAACTTCATTGTTCTTTCTGGAGAGTTTCTTCTCCATCACTTCATAGTTACGAGGCTGGGCTCTAGCGACTAGCGTCTCAATCCGAGCTCTGCATGTAACAGAAACTATTAAAATCTTTAAAATAAATTGTCTTTGTATTACAGAAGGCAGGAGAATAGAAATAGCTCGGAAACTATGTATCCCACAACAAACTAGTCTCCTGATAGCAAAGAACACAACATTTGTTGTTAGCGACAAGTTGACTTGCATTTGTGATCACTGATATAGACGTTAATTCGTGACTAAATCTACCTTCACTGACCTGTACTGCGCACATGAAGCTTCCAGGGCGTTATTGGACATCTCGATTTCCGTCCGGGACTTGATCACAGCTGCTAACCTCGTCTCAAGATCTGATGTCCTCTCTCTGAAAAAGAACTCGGTATAATTCTGATATTGCAATAAATAATAATAATCGTAAGAAATGCTAGTCACTCTATAGCTCAAGTAAACGTGACATTAGTTTTATGGAATGGGTTTTCTAGATACCAAGACTCGATTCAAGGGATATATACGGTATTAACTACCGGTATCTACCGCCTGACACGAGTAACCGGAGCAATATTGTCACAAGCCTATCTTCCCAAAAAGGATACGTTCTAGTGAGCGCAAAATGACTTGCACTGATGGTTGCCGCCACGTACGACAACTTTAAAATGTTCTCTGTTGCGTACAAACATCCTCAGGTTGCTACACTCAATAGTTCACGTATAATTTGCCGCCACGTACGACAACTTTAAAATGTTCTCTGTTGCGTACAAACGTCCTCAGATTGCTACACTCAATAGTTTACGTATAATTTAAGTTGAAAGTTATCTTCAACAACTTTAAAATGTTCTCTGTTGCGTACAAACATCCTCAGGTTGCTACACTCAATAGCTTACGTATAATTTAAGTTGGAACTTATGTTCCCGGAGAGTGACACACTGCGGTGGAGGGTTAAATTCATTCCTAAACATATGAAATTATATATTATAAGAGTAGAGAAACAAGCTAAGATCATTGATTGTTCTAGGTGTGCTTGTGGTCATCTGAACAGAGGAGTAGGTACTTTAGGAACTTTGCTAACTCGTATTTATGCTAATATAAAGCATTTTTTTGAACCTTCCTTTCATTTCAATAAATTCAAGAAATTTTAAACTGTTCAGTTATATTTCAGAAATGACTTACAGTGCATATCAGCTTTGATTCTAAAGCATCGAAGCCTTGCTTCAGTTTCTGAAGGGTTGGTCTTTTAATGTACGTCTCGGTGGCCGGACAATAAAATCTAGCCCAAGTACACGCACGTATTACCGGCCAATTTCTCGTCAGTGATTGACAAGCTCAGCTTGAAAAGCCATTAGTGACGGAGATAGGAACTCTTCACTATTATTGATACTATCACTACGAATTATCATACTATATATGCAGAGCTGGGCAGCGCTACTTTAAAATGTAGCGGCCGCTACCGCTACATGCGCTAGATGTAGCGGCCGCTACCGCTACATTGCTTTAAATGTAGCGCCGCTACCGCTACTGGAAATGTAGCGGTCGCTACATGTAGCGCGCTACTGCCCACCTCTGTGTACATGGCACCTACCTAAGCGGCTCCACCTCCGGCAGGAGGCGCGCGAGCTGGTCGCCCAGGTACTCCCACTCTCTGGTGCGTTGGTCGTACGCCAGCTGCAGCTCCAAGTGGTGCTGGTGCTCGCGCTTATACAGCTTTCTGCAGTGCAACGTAACTTTGGTTGCTAAATATATTTCAGGTGATCAGATTGAAGTAATACAACAACTTTAGTATGATTTAAAAAATGCTTTCTATATTAAAATAAAATAAATTTATATTTTTAGCCCACCTCAAGAATCCTGATCATGCTTTTGCTCACCAGGAGTTGAGAAAAAATTTAATACAAACTCATGTTTGTTATTATAATAAATACATGAAATTCTATACAAAATTATATATCAGTACAAAGTAGGTGATATTCAATGTTAATCTAAGAACCTTGTGACAAATTGAAGCCATACACCCAATCAGTACTCACTCTGTAAGGTTCAGCTTGTCTTTCAAGAACTTGTTCCACTGCTTGCTGTTTCTCAATTTCTGGAAAAAATAAAATTTATTCAAAATTTCTTTTTGAGATAATGGTTTAATAATTTCTAAGTTTATGCAAATAGGATAAATAACATGAATAAATTGATTGAGTTCATTCCATCATGAACAAACAGCACTAAATTTAATCTATGACAAAAGATCAAATCAGATTAAAATCTTAAGCAGGTATAAAATCACATTTTACTGCTGATTCTAAATGAAACTTTAATGAAATAATTTTTAAGTATATATACCATAATGTTGTGCATGAACATCAGCTGCATCAATAAGGATAGAAATCTTGAATGCAGAAGATTTAAAAAGTAAGAACATAAAACATAATGCATTTTTACAACAATAGAACAAACCTTTTGGAATACAATACAATTATGACATCTGTCTCCATAGGGTGATGGGTTGCGGGAAGCATTCCTGCTGTCAAGGGTTGATTTATCCGATACTGAACAGTTGCCATTGGTGAGAGGAGATGTGGTAGGATAATCAGACATGGGAGTTGTTCTTTCTAAACTGGAATTTCTGATGACTTGCTGGCTTTTTTGATTTGAAGATGATCCATGATATGTCATTGGAGGATATTCACCATTAGGCATGGTGGTGGAGTGTAATTCAGAACCATGATTGTGAACAGAGAGATCATTAGGATCATGAAAACCATTTATTTGAGGACCATTCTTCACTGCACTTGAAGAATTCACATATGCATTCTTTGGAGAAGTTTCATTGAACACATTAGTTGCCAGAGAGTCTGAGCATTGGTAGATTGGACTTGGTGTTATATTATTAAATGTAGATCCATCCAGAGCAAATAAATTCCCTCCATTGATCACGCAATCGTTGGAAGATAAAGTTATAGCTGACGATGAGTTGTTTCTTTCCAGGCGGGAGTGGAATGGAAGACCATTGCAAGTGGCAGGACTCCCAGAGTTTTGACTTTGCAGCATTAATCTACTAGATGATGCAAGAGGAATTTGCATGGAAACGGCAGAAGCAGGGATAGGATTTGTGTTTTGTACAGGAATTATAGAAAACTCGCAGTGAGAGGATAGAAAAGGGTTATTTATAGATGCAGGATTTGATGGTTGCCTGCTGACTGGTATCATTGCCTCAAAGCCCATGGTCTGTGGTGCATTATTTGCGTATATATCAGAGTGGAGAGGAATTTGAAGAGTAGGTGGAGCTGTGGAGAAGTCTGTGACTGTAAATGAAGATGATGAGTTGACAGGACAATGGTTCTGATTTTCTGTATTGAAATCTTCAGGAATTTCAAAATCTCCAGCCACAGGATGCTGCTCAATGTCGTCATCATCAAGGAGTGCTGACAGTGACAAGGGATCTTCATGATAAGAAGCCATTTTATAATCTGAAATGACACAACAACTAATCAGTCACAAGTTACCACTCTCCCTAAGAGATGTGCATGGGATATCTCATTATAGTTTTCATTTAATTGCCATGGGAGAGGTAGATTAGGATTTAAACACGAGCAACTAAAATACCTATCAAGTATATCCAAATTTCTCCCTTTTTGAGTTACAGTATATAAAATAATTGTAAAAATAGCCACACATAAAAAACACATCTTGTTGAATACATGCAAGAAAAAAAAAAACTAAATAGAGAAATAAGTCATGATTTGATTTGAATACCTACTCTCAAATGCAGCTAGACCCACCAATAAAATATTACATCTTTTTGTATGCTTTGCCAATTGTGTTGGTATTTTTTCACTTTATATATCTAAATTCAACCCCAACTTGGCAACCAACACCAACAGAAAAATGGTTACCTAGATAACATAATGAAGTTATCCAAGGATTAATTCCAAGACCAAGTTTGAATTCCCCTTTTATTGGGTTTTGATGACTATTTCTTTAGGATGGCAAGAGCTGAATAAATAATAATGATTAGTAAATGAATGACATCTTAGAAACAAGTTCTTACTTACATGAATTAGTAGAGGTATTGGATATAGCATTTAAGGTAAAACTTATTGCTTGTTCTGAGTAACTGATCTATAAGATAGGCACACAATGAAGGCCTCCAAGTTCAATGTTACCAGTCATAAATAATTATTTTGTGAATACATGAGCAGCAGAAGCAAATTTATTGTAATATTCTAGTCCCTTCGAAAATACAAGAAAGAGAGGATAAAAGTAATTGTAATAAATTTAAAATACATTTGGAAGCAAAAAATCTCTCTCTAATATGTGTTTATCTTAATTTGAGCTTATAATATTAATAAGTTTATGTTTCCTACAAAATTCTATCATGAGCATATTCATCATTACCATGACAATATCATGACATTATCATGACAAATTAATGCATTGTCGGTCATCACAAAATTATGCATAAAATGTCATAGATAGAATTGTGCACTGGGCAACATAGAATGAAAAGTAAATAACCTAAACTATGATTTATTTCTCCAAAAAATATAATGGTTTTTACTAAAATATACCTTTCTGTTTAAGGTACGTTTTTATACGATCTTTAATGGTGTAAAATTACAAGCCATCCTGTAAGCTTCCAGATACAGAAAAAATGCTATACAACTGCTGATATGAATATTGCAGTGGACAAAGTCATTGTAAATGTTCGATGGCATGTTCATGGATGCGGAAATATCACATCAATAATACGGTAATGTATGGATCTGGTAATATATCAATAAAGGAAAAACAAGTAAAAATCACAGAAAATGTCATTTATTCTACATCTACATCATCTACAAAATAAGAGGAGGACTTCAGAGTACTGTTAGTAATGGATGAGTACACTTTGCATGCTTCATACATTTTAAAATCAAGTTTTATTTCAAGTACCTATACCAGATTACCTTGTTCCCAGGGGCAATTTGGGACACTTTTATTCTGTGTCTGGCACCTCACAAGTAGCATATAGAATTTTTTTGGAGATGCCAGACAATGACCCTCGCAAGGAGCTTTAAAATGAGCCCAAACTTGTTTATGAAATTTTTCATGGTAAGAAGTTATTAACAAAAAATGCTCAAAATCATCCCTTATCACCGCATTTGACGGTACTGCAATATATAACTATGCAATAAAATCCCACTATAATGATAATTTTTCAAGTATAAGCATCTGACCAAACAAAGTGGCTAACTCTGCCTAAAGGGGATCATTTCAGTCAAAAATTAGGTAAAAAATTTTGGCTTTTCTGTTTTCTTGGCCTATTTTGTAGCTGCTGAAAAGGCGCATCTAACGCAGCAAACCGTACCATCAACCGGGGCTACTCGGGACAGGCAGGGTAACTCAGGACAGTCCTCCGACACGGCGTAAAACTGTTTTAGTAGCAAAACTAATTGGAATATTGCAAAACTAAATATAGTGGCGTAAACATCAACATTTTTCCTATCTATGTAGTATAAAGGAAGTTCAAAAATACTACATTTACTAGCTTTGAAAAATTCCTGAAAAAATGGTGTAAAACGATATTTGAAAAGTTACTTCTGCTAAGGTCTGCATAAAAAAATATATATATATTTGCCTTATTAAAAAATTTTGCTTAGAAAAAAGTGGCAGACAAGTGTCAGCATGAAAACTTTATTTGCAGAATTTACATACATACCTCAATCCTAAAAAAAATGGCAGCCATTTCCGCACGGCGGGGCTACTCAGGACACCCCCTCCCCCGGCTATTCGGGACACTCTCAAAAACGCATTTACAGTAGAACCTCAGTTAGCAAAGGCTCCAGTTAAGAAAAAAATTAATTAAAAACAAAGAATATTGATTACATTTACCTTGCTCAGCAAAAAAAATTTCACTTATCAAAAAATTAGTGCATCGTCAGTCATCACAAAATTGTGCATAGAATGTCATATATAGAATTGTGCACCAGGCATCATAGAATGAAAAGTAATTGACCTAAACTATGAAATGGGTTTCCAGAGCATCCTTCACAAAATGTTGATACTTTTTGGCCTTTCTTTCTGCAACTTTTGATCCTTCTGACTGGGAAATCATTTTATAGCATCCCACACAGCGCTTTCTTGTCTTGCCTTTTGAGCCAGGAGCTTCGTACGAGCGATGGGCACTTGTCTTGTCGCATCTTTTTTAGATGGTTCTTCCATCGGATATCCATAAAAGAGTGAAAAAATATGAGATTCTCTGAAATTTACGATTGTCCATTTGTGCCGCCCACTGCAGTATTTATTGAAGATTAGGAGGATTATGAGGAGGGCCTGAATAATTGAAATGAAGGGTCCTCAGTAGAATAAAAAATCTCTCTGTTACCATTATCTCACGGTCACATCTTCTCTCAAATAGAACACTTTTTGACCAGTGAGATTTCATGGAATATTGAGGATTCAGTCCCATGTACTGGATGATTCCTACAAATTTTTTTATTTCTGTAAAATAAAGTTGGCATCCAGCAATTCAGTCTCGAGTTCCTTGTTAGATTTGGTTGTGCTCGCAAATGTTCTGCATAATAATTTGTTTCACGAACTATCAATTCTATGATTGGATCTGTCAAAAAAAGGGAGTAAGCATCAATAGGCCAGATCTTCCCTTCATGAGAAGGGTTAGGTGCGATTGACAGTTCTTCCTTACCGGAAAACGGAAACTTTCTTATTTGAGCCGACACTTAGGCACACACTTTGCTCTGTCTGACCTTCTATTGCTTGAATATCATTACCTTTGTTGTTGTCATCACTAATTTCACCATGTAAATCACTTTCATCATTCAATTCATCACACTCTGAACCATCGGTCCTCTCTGGTGAGAATGTGTCATCTGATGGAATGGGATCATCACTGTCGGAAGAAAGTTCATCACGTTTCGCTCCCTTAGAATCACCCTAAAAACTACTATACGTTTCCATCATGAATGGTCTGAAAATACACGAGAGTGAGTTGTGAAACAGGAAAATTAGGTAAAATAAATTTATCAGCAAATTGTCGCACGACCCATATGTGGGTCGTGCCGCAATGACATGATAAATCTCACACTCTGCTGCGAAACGACACACATGTGGGTTGTGAATTTTATTGCCCTAACATGTAGAGCACATTGACAAACATACACACACAACCTCCCGCTTCGATGTCTGGAGAGGCACTGACGATATAGCAACCCAAACATAGCCGCACCAGCGGGCAGTCGGCAATTTCGGCCCCCGCACTTAACGTGTTAAAATGGTGTGAAATTACAAGCCATCCTGTAAGCTTACAGATACAGAAAAAATGCTATAAGGCTGCTGGTATGAAGCTTGCAGTGGACAAAGTAGTTGAAATGCTCAATGGCCTATTCATGGATACGGTAATATCGCATCAATAATACGGTAATTAATGTACGTATATGGTAACATGTCAAAGGAAAAACAAGTAAAAATCACAGAAAATGTCATTTAATCTACCTCTACATCATTTACAATGAAAGAGGAGGACTTCAGAGTACTGTTAGAAATGGATAAGTACACTCTGCATGCTTCAAATGTTTTAAAATGAAGTTTTATCGCAAGTGTCCTAAGTAGCCCCATTTGACGGACGGGGCTACTAAGGACACTCTTTTTTTGCTTCTGGCACCTTACGAATAGCATATGGAATTTTTTTTAAGGTGCCATTCGATAGCCCTTGCAAAGAGCTATAAAATGAGCCTAAACTTGTTTATGAAATGTTTCAAAGTAAGAAGTTATGAATGAAAAACGTTCAAAATTGTCCCGAGTAGCCCCGGTTGACAGTACCAATAATTTTTTACCCAAAAATCCCTAAGTGGTAAACACCAGCTTGGCCTGTTGGCCATTATTGAAGGCAATAAGTGCCCTTTTTAGCCATCCATTACGATTCATATACTGTTATTGTTAGTAGGCGAATTGCAACATAAAAAATAATACTTCAAAAAGACAAAAAAGTTGAAAAAAAAATAAAAAAAATCAAATAAAAAAATTGTGACAAAATAAAAAAAAAATCATTGATTTTTTACTTTTTTTTCAAATCAAAAGAATCACCAACCCTGTTGGGCATCTGCCACATTGATCGTAAAATGCGTGGATCCATATCAATCATGCCGCATCATTCATGAAGCGAGACCGTCGGCCACATCGAACGTAAACTGCGTGCATCCATATCGATCATGTTGCATTGATCGTGAAGCGTGAGCGTCAGAATCGATCATTGGGAATCGGCCACATTGAGCGTAAAATGCATGCATCTATGTAAATCATGCCACATCGTTCACTGAGCATGAGTGTTGAAATCGATCATTGAGCTTTGGCCACATTGATCGTAGAATGCGTGCATCCATTTCAATCATGCCGCATTGTTTGCGAGCATCAGAATTGATCATTGGGCATTGATCGTAAAATTCATGCATCTATGTCAATCATGCCGCATTGTTCGTGAAGCGTGAGCATCGGAATCGATCATTGGGCATCGGCCACATTGATCGTAGAATGCTTGCATCCATGTCAATCTTGCCGCATT